ATGAACCCATCTAAATGGAAGGAAGAACATGTGAGTTATTATAATTTGTTTACGAAGATGTCTTTACAGTGCATTATGGTTTTGTTAGATCACCGTTGACATTAGTTTGATTACCTTTTAACAATGCTTGAGAAATGTCCCTGTTTTTACATGAAGACTTACACAAGTGCCATATTATGTCAGCTTATAGTGAGAGGATAGTTGGTTGTGTCATTTGATATTTGGAATTCTATTATATTTATTTTCTTATTTTTCAAGATTTTTGTGTCATGTCTTGAGTTTCTTTCATTTCTACGTCGCCATTTAACTTGTGCTGTGAACTAGTTATTACTACACTATTTTGTGTCATTGTGAAATTGAGAAATAAAGTTCATGCTATTATTTTGCAGGAATTCTAAGGGCTATGATATGGCAAAAAAGTATGTAAGCAAACAAAAGAAACATAGAAAGAGTCTGATGTTGCTGCTTCACATGGCCAGATTTTGCTACTGCTTCCTCTTCCTCATTTACCTAAAAAAAAAAGGGTCTATATCTCTAGCATTATCATCCAAATGTCTCTTGCCATGCCCTGCCCTACCCTGCCCTATCGTACTGGCTAGCACTGTTGCCTCTATTGTATGTGGTCCCCTGATTTAGTTTCTTTGAGCTATGCGATGCTTTCAGCTCCCTAGATCCAACTCCAATGACTATTTTTTATTAATTCATAATTTACTGCCTATAATTAGGACATGCGGTTTGAAATTTTTAATTTGGAACAATTCATGTATGCTGTTAAAACGTAAATGGTGCAAAGCCAATGCCGAGAATAGAAAAAAGAAGAAGCAATATGATCATACAGGGGTTAACGTCCATGTAGATGTGTGCTGATCAAGCTTGAGCAGTAAGGCCTTTCATCTTGTGCTTAGTAGGTTTGCTTCTCCTTGTCCATTAGATGTTTTCCAATTATGAGATGATATGATACTCTTCGTCTTGGCATTATTCTCATGGCTGTGAAATTTCAGTTTGCAATGAATGGCTATATCAATCTAAAAGATTATTTTTGTGTAGAAATTGAATGAAAGTAAATTGTACTGCATACCTCTGTGGTGTCTATGTTCTGGAGTTAATGTTGTTGATCAATGATCAGCCTCTTTCATAATTCTTTCATTGATTAATATTGTTGTTCTCTCATTGTTCTGGAGTTAACTTGATTGAGTTGTCATGCACTGCTTGAGATTTTGGATACCATGTGAGTTATAAGTTGCAAATGAAGCACAGACGAAAAAAAAAAATGAACTCTACTTTTATAAGAAACTTAGTCTGCTTTGAGTTTAAGTTTGTCTTTTCTTGATACGTAAGTATGAGATTTTAAATTGGGCTTGTTTGTGATTTTGCGCATCTGCATATATAACAATAAATGGAAAGTGATGGTTCCAATAGAGCAGATCAAAGATGTACCTCATTAATACCAATTTGACTTTTGTATTACTATGTATATACATATTTATATATGTACATATTGACATTGCTTTATTTTGTTTCCGTTGTAGATGAAGATGATGGATGAATTTGAGAAGGTGAAGGAACAATTGGTGGAGTACGAGATCATGTCACGGTCCATATCCCACAAGCTTGGTCTCTAGTGATTCGAAACCCTAACTCTTAAGTCTTGAGATAATTGACCCTTTTTTTTCATGACAGTTGTACCTAGATTTTTGGCTTCTAGAAGATTGTTGTCATTGAGAACCTTCATCAATTTGGGGTGGGACAACATTCCATTTAGTTGCAGGAAGTGTACTGTAGTTATAAGGAAAAAAAAAACATGCAATTGAGGGACTATTTGTGTATAAGACAGACTATGTGATTATCTAGTCCTCATGGAATGAAATTGAGTTCAATTTACCTCAGAAATTTCAGTCTTGAATATGTTGTTTTTATTATATATTTGCAAGTGTATGCAATGGAAAAATACTTTTATTTATATTATACATTGAAAAGAGCACATTATTATGTGTATATATAGCTCATTCTTCTTGCCTTTTATATAGGGATGGCGATGGGTCGAATCGGGGGTGAGCACCCTATCCCCGTGAAGCTATTTTCCCCCATCCCTACCTTCTTACTCGCAATACAGACTTTTAAAAAAAAAAGGATATACGAGGGCAATATAGTAGCAATACACAAGCAATAAAGGGCTATACAATGACAATACACAAACTCCATACTCCCCCTATAAATTTATTCCAAAATAGACTTGAAGAAGAAAAAAAAAGATATGCGGGGGCAATACACAAACAATAAAAGGCTATACAATGGCAATACACAAGCAATAAAAGGCTATACAATGGCAATACACAAACTTCATATTCCTCCTATAAATTTATTCTAACAGACTTTAAAAAAAAGGATATACGGGGGCAATACACAAGCAATAAAGAGCTATACATGTGCAATACATATGCAATATATATCTGTCATGGCATTTGCCAATTAAATCACTGATTTGGTTACATTTGTATTTTTTTCTTCTTTGCAAGGGGAACTATAAAACCATGGAAACTAGAGATTGAAAAATTTCCTTCTAACTTGACTCTCATAAATTGAGGAACTAATTATGTTATCTCATTACATCTTAAGATATACATAAGAAAGTGGCAAAAAAAGAAAAAATTTACATTTGCTGTTGGTCGAGAATTTTAATACATTTTATATCTATCAGTAAAATTCGACAACATCTCCTCTTAGAACCGAATATAAGCTGAAAGTTAGCAATTTCCTCCCCAAGAGAACGCTACCACTTGAAACAATACAATCTTCCATCTGTATAAAACAGATCAAAAATGCATATTAGAAGCAAATCATTCAATCACAATGGAAACAAAAACATAACATTCCATCACAACTGAAACCAATTCCAAAATTCATAACAGAAACCAATACCAAAACAGATTCAGAAACCAATACCAAAACAAGTTCAGACATATTTACAGGCACTACAAGTATCAGACACATACATTTACATGCAATACAACAAATTGAATGGATAAATGTAAAACTGCAGTATGATATACATTTATTAATAAAAGAAAGAAAAAAAATATTATGATATACGTAATTTAAAAGCAAAGCTTGAAGTTTGCTGAGTTATATATACCTCTGAGAAATCTATCTGTGGTTTCTCCAGTGAAGGATTACCTTCAAGAATCCGACTTTCATATAGATTGTTAGCTTTTCTAAATGACCCAATTCTTCATATAGAAAATTTCACAAGATAATACCATTGCAAAATTAAAGTTTACATTCATGCACACGATTTCGTACTACTCAATTGCAATATAAAAGTTATTATAAACATGGGTGAAGTGAATGTGTGTCTTGGTAGGCGAATAAAAATACAAATAAGGAAATCATCAATACTGCATTTCGCATTGTTCAAAAGTTAAAGAAGCACAGTCTCAGAGAAGAAGAAGAGCAAGACAATGGAACTGGATAAATGCAAGAGCTATCAACAAACCTTCAAGTTTTCCAAGAACTCTTTTCACTGCACCAACACAACCTTGGCATGATACCAACCTTGAGGACTATAGACTACACCAAAAACAGATCCAAGATTGAATAATGAAAAATAGAGAAAATCAAGATCCAACATATGCCAACTTTACAATATCAAACTTATGTTAAAATATTGACATTCTCATAAATCTTACAAACTCCACAGTCACTTTTGGAGATATCCTCCACCTCAAGACATAATCAATTTATATAGTTCATTCAAAAATCACATTCCAAAACAGAACAAACAAATTCAGATCATTGAACCAAGAGACCATTGAACCAAATAACTGTGTTTCTTCAATTGTTTTTTTGTCAAAATAAAAACCTAACTCAATAATCTAATTCAGTAAGCAAAAGAAAATCTTCAAAATCATTGTAGATTGGACAAGCTTCAAGCATAATATTCCTTAAGACAAACTGAGAAATATATGTTGCATAATCCCAAAATTTTGGTTCAAAAAGTTCTTGTATAATCTCACTGAAATAACATTCTCTACACAAGCTTAAAATATAGAGAGAGTAAATTTTAAATTAAACCCACAATTATGTTTCAACAATTTTCTGTACAATCTCACCCAAATTTGACTTGGAGGGACTTGAACTCACATCAAGCACCAAAAACCCAAATATATGAAATTGAAACAAGGAGAAGAAAACCCAAATATGTAGGAGAAAAGCCAAACTGGCTACCTGAGACGCCATCTCTTGGCATGGAGGTTGAGAGAGGCTACAGAGAGTGAGAGATGGAGGTGGAAAGATCGTCATAGCCGATGTGGGTTAGGGTTTCTGAGGAGGTGACAGTGACTGTCGACGATGTGGGTGCGAGCGAGAGAGAGAGAAGAGAGGAGAGGAGGGGAGATTCTATGGTGGAGGTGAATATAGCTAAGAGGAGATAGAGTTAGGGGAGATTATATGGTGGAGGTGGATTTTGTGAGGTTTGGGAGAAGGAAGAAGAGGAAGAGGAAGAGCAATGACTGAGAAAAAAAACTAAATGAAGGATGGGCAATAGGCTGTCAATAGAGAGTTTTTATAAGGGGCATTTGTGATTGGGTTTCAAAATAAGGATATTAGTGAATAAATTAGGTGAGCCGGGGTAAAGCCGCCAATTTCCCAATTCCTAAACGGTGAGGCCTGATGTACGCAAGCCTAGACATAATAAGGTGTAAGAATATTTTATAAATATTCTGTGTGGCCCACATGAAGTGACCTATGTAGTAAATAAATTATTTAATTGGTTTAATAAATATTATTTAGAATAATTATATTGGTTAAATAAAGAGAAGTAGGTTCCTATTTTATTACCGTGATGAGTGGTAATTGATTATGGGCTTCACTAGGAAACGGGTCCTCTGTCTGCCTATAATAGTGCACATACCCATCTTATGTGTATACTGATGAAGACACGTATTAGGGTTTCTAAACGTGCAAAAGGCTAGAGAGAGAAATCTATTTCCTCCACACTGACGGCTTGCCTACGGATCGCTCAAAGCAAATATCTTGATATGGTAGAATACTAATCATTCAAGGTATGTATGTAATTTAAGTCTAATTGAATTTCCGCCTAATATTATTGTGAAAATCATGAAGTTCAAGATCTTAGGTCATGGATTGGATTCTTATGGTTTTACCCAATATTAAGTTTACATGTGATATCAGAGCATGGTTGAGAACTCTCTTGATTTTCCATTATGATTTATGAGGTTTGGTTTATTGATTTGGTTGAGCCATAAAATTTACGCCTGTTTGTTTGATTTTGGCTATCGTTTATTTGGCGGTGGACATGTACTGTGTTTGATTTTGGCTATTGTTTATTTGGTTTTTATATCAATTAAAACATATATTTGCTCGCATGGGTTCCTACGGTGCACCGGTCTGCGTACGATGTGGGAGAGCACCTTTTACATAAAAGGGAAATATAGCTGCCAGTTTTCCATTCAGTATATGGTATTACATATGAATGACAAAATAATAGCAAATAAGCGTATTGATGGATATGTCATGCATATGTAATTTTGGGAAAGTTGAATTAGCAAATATGTACTGTGTATATATTAGTGGTCGGGATGAATTGGCTATCAGACCAGTACATATAGTATGGAGTACTGTTTCTTTATGCAATACTAGTTTTGGGAAAATTGCATAATATTTACACCAAATTAAGAATTGCAATTATATAAAATGAAATTTGTAATAGAATGATGTATTAAATGTATGACCACTTATGAACTCCTGGAATGATCCTGGTGTAGACATGTACAATAGATTAAAGTTATTTAAAACAAATAAATGTAAGCATATTGTATTTCATTGTCACTGTACATTGTCTTATGAAGCGAGGCAATCTAAAGGTCTATTGCCCACTACTGTGTTAAAAGGTCATATATTTATCGGTTAATCTAATGATCGGTTAACCATTAAAGTGTATTAATTGATCCTATGTAATCTATTAACTATTACAGCTGTTAATTTAATTTGACATTCATATTATGAATAGTTTGTTAGTCACCAAAGTGGCCAAGCTAGAACGTTCCTTGAATATCAAATTAATTAATCTAATGATCGATTAATCATTAAAGTGTATTAGTTAATCTTATGTAATTGATTAACTAATACAGTTGTTAATTTAATTTGACGTTCATATTATGAATGGTTTGTTAGTCACCAAAGTGGCCAAGCTAGAACGTTCCTTGAATATCAAATTAAATGATAATTAATCAATTACTTGTGATTTAAGGATGCATATAAATGAGGTTGAACCTTATAATGTTTTCAAGGTTCGAACATCATGAGTATATTGATTTTCATCATTCATAAGATATACAGATCACCCGAAGGTGGATCCACTATTCATATGATTGGTGAAATAAATGAGGTAACTTGTATATGTTTTTATTTAGATTTGTTTTGGATATCCAAAGATATCAAAGCCTTTCTAACTAGGAATATACATTTTACCAATAATATAAAATAAATGCATCATAATTGTTAATTATTGGTACTGTCATAATTTATCCCAAAGGAGAGTTATGATGATACATCTATTGATGTTCAGACCATACAAGTCTTATATATGTTTGTACGTGTTTATTACTCGAAGCATTAGTATTCTGAGCATATTACAAATTATATTGCAATCTCACTTTTAGGTTCGCTTCATTCTCATGTTTGATCTAGTTTAGATTTAATTTCTCATTTTGTTTTGAACAAGTCCAGTATCACCAAAGTGTTCTGGGTCTTGATTAGGCATTTCAAAATGAGAAACTCATTGCTATTATGGTAAGGCACTGAGGATTAAATACTTCCCATAAAGCTTGTAAAAGATCAAACATATTGAGCTTTATGTTTATGCGAATAAATAGACATTGTAATATAAATTAAGGCTATGCTCCATTAATGTGAATAATGCTAAAGAATTCTTGAGAATTGCTAACAAGTCCATTACATGGACAATATTGGCTGACCTTACTATCATGAAATTTGATGGTATGCGAAGCATGAATGAGTGCATTATTCAATGGACTAATTTAGTGGCAAAATGAAGTCCTTTAGATGAAGAAGATGAATCAATTTTACTTATGAAGAAGGCGAAGCATTTACACAATACGATTCGAAAAGAATGTCTTCGGCTTTTATGTGTTTCGAATCAATTTTTAGATGAATTTTCTTATGATGTTTGATGGATTAAATTATGTGCTAAAATTCATGTTTCTAATAGTTCAATGCAAAGTTGCTTTTGGTTTCACTTTTTGGAATTATATATTCAATTTAATGCCCATGATTTAGATTTATTGAAAGCGTATTATGTTCTTCCTGTTTCAAATCTACTTGGAATTTTGTTTTGGAATTTGGCAATAATGTTCTATCCTTTAAAGTTTGGTGATGACTGTTTCAGTCTCTTAAAGAATGCCTATTTTGTTAATTATGATATTCTATTAATGATTTACAAAGTTAGAGCATGATGACTTTTTCTTTAAATATTTTTGATACTTCACATGATTAATTTAGAAGTGACTACTATTTGACAAATTAAAATTTAATGTTCTTATGACATAAATGACTGGTAATGTGTTCACAGAAAGAACTAAGGGATCAGTAAGGAATGAGGTTCTTTTGAACCTATATTTTATTGATCTCTTATTGGTGTGTAAGTGGATTGTATTAAGGAGAACAATTTAAATACACCAAGAAAGATGCCATAAGAAATTTTTAGCTAATTGAAATTATTTATAAAACATGTGTTCAACTTATAATGCTCTGCCTTTTGGTTAGGGGTATGTGAAGTAATTTATTGTTACCTATACCATTATGGATACATGTTCTTACGACAACTATTATGCTAATTGGGTTCCTATTATGGTAGTTTCAAATAAGAAATTATATGAACGGCGGAAAGTAAGGAAATCTAGTTTGAGGCACCTATGTTTTGGGTTGCTTAGTGGGAGTAAGAATATAATGTTCACATGAGAAGGGATTGGACCTTCATAATTTTTTTTGATAACCTTATTGGTTACCTAGAAAAGTACAAATGGTATAAATTTTATTATCCTAACCGGGGTATGGGATTATTGAAATCAGTAACATCAGTTTCATTTTAAATGGTGAAATTAGTGGGAGTGGATAAACAAGAAAATTGGTTTTATGAGAAGTTAGTGTGCAAATTTTTGCATGCATACTTCATAATGAAATTGTTGTTCCTACAGTTGTGAACAGTTTTAACAACAATGACCAACAAATTAATGAATAACTAATCACTCCATTATGACTGCTTCACCAGTGAAAGTGTAGTAGAGACCCACAAAGAATAGCATTAAGATGATATCAAGACATTAAACGTGTTGGTATCTGCTACTCTAAGTGATTATTTGGGATATCTACAAGAATCTAACTGTAAGTGTTAAGTAAGATTTTGATTTTATTTTCACATGTCATTAAACATATATTGATTCTACTAAATAGATTTATGCCATGAATGATGAGTTGAAATCAATTTGCCGGAATGAAGTTTGTGATTTCGTCGATTTGCTTGCAAAGGACAAGGTGTGTGTAAAGGTGTCTTCATGACTAAATACAACTCCAATGGCAATAATATAGATGGATATAAAGACACACTATTGGCCAACGATTTTACTAAGAAAGAAGGCATATATTATAAAGTGACATTCTCACTTGTTTCTAAGAATGACTCACTTAGAATCATTAATGGTATTCGTAACTCATTATGATTTAGAGTTACACTGTATGGATGTGAAAGATAAAATATTAGATGAGTGTTTAATAGAGAAGTTTGTATGAATGAACCTGAAGACTTCTCTTTTATTGAAAGAAACACATGCTTTGTAAACTGAAGAATTCACTGTATAAAATTAAAAATTTAGCAATTACTATGGTATGCAAAGTTTAATAATATCATAATATTTTTAATTTTTAATTTTTGATGAAAGCACTATTAATTATTGTATGTATTTCAAGGTCAGTGGGAGTAAGTCTATATTTCTCACTTTGGATATTTATGCTATTTTGCTTGCTATATATTGGTCTTGGTTTTCATTGTTGAAACCATTAAGCTTTTCTCTAAGAACCTTGGATGAAATATATGGATGAGACAATTTTTGTGATTGGAATTGAAATATTCCAGAATGGATCACATGAATTGTTAATTTTGTCTCATTAAGCATATATTGTAAGTGTTCTAAAGAGACATGATATGAAATAATGTTTATCCATTAATGTTGCTCCAATTCAGAAAGGGGACAAGTTTAGCATTATGTAATGCCCATAAGAGTGAATTGGAACATGAACAGTACAATGAGAGTTCATTATGCATATATGGTTTGCTTTGAGGCCATAGTTGATGAATTGAAGTTGCGGGTTTTAATCTTAGGACTTGGTGTTTAGGTTTTATTGCCACACCGTTAAGAATTTATGTTGATGCCGCAATTGTCCTTTTCTCCAAGAATGACAAGTGTTCTAGGAGTGCTAAACATAATGGAATTAAATACCTTGTCATTACGGAGGTTCAGAAACAAAGAGTGTTTATAAAGACAAAACTTATGCTTGCAAACCAAGTAAAAGGTTTTGGCCAAAGACATTAATAGTTATGTTGAGAGGACTGTTTTTGGTCATAAACCATGATAGTATTTATGATGTTGTGGTTTGCACACTGACATTTTATTTATTTTGACACTCTGAGCTCAATAATTGAATATGTTTCTGTTATATCCTGTTTTCCCTTATATGTATATATGAATGATTGGATGAATGATAACAGGAGTCGTCTCTGACAAAGACATTATTGGACCTTTTATGATACTTTTCACTTATGGACTGTTTTAGGTGATTTGCTAATGTTGTGGTACATAGAAGGGATTGTATCGTTTATGGATGCATAACCGCCATGACTCGCATTAGACAATTGCTTAAATGCGGTATTTATGTCGACCATATGAAAGTGAGGATTATTCTGAATGTATCGCGTGCCTAATGTTTATTTATTAAACCAAAAAGTAAATTTATCATATGGGCCAAGTGGGAGAATGTAAGAATATTTCATAAATATTATGTGTGGCCCACATGAAGTGACATATGTGGTAAATAAATTGTTTAATTGGTTTAATAAATATTATTCAGAATAATTATATTGGTCAAATAAAGAGAAGTAGTTTCTTATTTTATTACCGTGATGGGTGGTAATTGATTATGGGCTTCACTAGGAAACGGGTACTCTCTCTGCCTATAATAGTGCACATACCCATCTTATGTGTACACTGATGAAGACACGTATTAGGGTTTTCTAAACGTGCAAAAGGCTAGAGAGAGAAATCTATTTCCTCCACACTGACAGCTCGCCTATGGATCGCTCAAGGCAAATATCTTGATATGGTAGAAGACTAATCATTCAAGGTATGTATGTAATTTAAGTCTAATTGAATTTCCGCCTAATGTTATTGTGAAATCATGAAGTTCAAGATCTTAGGTCATGGATTGGGTTCTTATGGTTTTACCCAATATTAAGTTTACATAAAGCTCTAGATATATAGGTTGAGTGGGAGAGAAGTATAAAAAAAGGAGTGCCCTGAATGTTCACTTAGGCTGCTAGTTTCTTGTAGTGTCTTTGGGAATGCCCTATGATGTTCAAGTTCAATAAAGATATAATTTGATAAAGCTTAAAAGCAGAAGCACTGCAAGCACAACTATTCCTACGTTGTTTTCCTCCAATGGATAAGCAATATGATATTCCAGAACAACGGATAAGCAATTCCCACCAAAGTTAACAATTCCCTTTTCTGATTTAATTCTCAAACAAAAAGGCAACTCACCTGTCACACTAATACTTGATACATCAATGTAATCATGTTTGCTTCCACAGCTTAGATGGCCACACTCAACAAATTTATATTGTTTTATAGGAATTAGATTTACATTGTTTATTGCTAAACTTGGGAACAATTCATACCCGCAAACAATACTTAATACATAGTCGTGGCTTTTATTGGGACATAAAAAACATAACTACTGCAGGAGGTGAAACAATTAACAGTAGCTAATACAGTTGGCACAGGACGCGAGAACATACATAATCATGGATAATGATAGCCTTCATCACTTTTAGGAGCCTTGTAAGCCAGGATGGCATATAAGGTCTGCATGAAGGTCAAACCCAAACCCAAGAGGGCACCAGCAAATGCCAAAGTTGACCATGGATTGTTGAAATAATCACGTGCGAGAATTGTTTTCCATCTATTGAAGCGACGGTGATAATGCTCATTCACTTTGTCAGTGAGCTCTTTATAAGAGAAATGGCCAGGGATGGTGTTATTGTAAAGCTTATTGAAAAAGCTAGCTATATCCTCCTTGCTTAAATGGGTAAATAAAATTCCTTTCTGCACCAGAATGTCCACATCCGAGCTGGTGTTGATCAGGTTATCCAACACCACAGCATAAGATGTAATTTTACATTCGTACACGCTGGCTTCGCACTGCTCGTAAACAATGAGATTTCTGAAGAGGGACTCACCATTTTCGTTAACCACGATCGGTGGAATTTTCATAACTCCATTTTCAAAGGTTATGTTGAGCATGCTATCGTCAGTACGTCGAAATTTGACTCCAGCTTGTAGAAGCTCTGTGACGCTAGGGATTGGAGCCCAATCTGAGTTAGGATGATTATTAGTACTATCCTCTTTTGTTCCTCCTAGTAAACATCTTCTTATAAAGTCAAGTAAATGCTTGCTTCCCGTTTCTTCAATTTTCTTTGGATATCGCCCTAAGGTGTAAAACTCGAAGTAGTTGAGAGTAAGCTGAGATAGAGAAGTTTCTTCTATTTCATCGTTTTCTCTTGTGAGCTTGAATAAACAGTCGAGAACTCTCCAAGGAATCTGATTTTCAAGTAGAAGCAAGTCGTATAGGAGCGTCGCGATCATCCATGATGTGTCGAACACAGGATCATCCCTTTCTGGGAAAACCTTTGTTGCACACTTTCCAGCGGTAAAATCAGTAATATACTTGCGGAAGAGTTCAATTATAAAGCAACCATCAACCACCATTATTTCCACAAAGTCATCACTACTTAAATTAACCTTTTCTCCGTAGCAATCACGACAGTATTTTTCCATGCTTCTAATGCCTTTCACAAAGGACATCATACTGGCCTCCTGATTGCCTCTACGCTCAAGGAGACAATGCAAATACCATTGTTTAATTTCTTCCATGGCTTTCAGGTCCTCATGTCCATGGTGATATGGCCCAATTGAAACTAGGTTTGGAACAAAAACATTTTCATTACCCCCTGCGTAATATATGAGGGATTCTAAATATGCAGCTACATGCGAGTGAAGAAGACTGCTGAGGAAGCTTTTTTCGAATCGAGGATGCTAATAACTCGTATTCCTTTCTGTTCTCACTCAAACCCGAACTTTGATTCTTCAAATCATTTCCTGCTGCTGTTGCATATCTGTATTTCCCACCACCGAGTCATCATCTTTGTTGCTCTCTGTCATTCTGATCCCCACCTTAATTAATATACAAATTTATAAATAAACCCAATCCTAAACATGTATTTATAAAAAAACCCAAGCACTATTTAAACATAGAAACACACTCAAAATCAACCCCAAAGTCAACTTTTTGGGTGTGTTTATAAATGGGTTTTGAGTGTGTGTAATGATGGGTTTTGGGTGTGTTTATAAAGTGTTTTGGGTGTTAGGTTTTTTTATAATTTCAACCTCCATTTTGGGTGTTTTAGTGAAACTCCCTAATTAATAACCGGAAAATGAAAGTTGTTAGCGATAATCAAATAACACCAAGTGATCCTCTACTCTACTATTTTATTTCATCCTTTTTTTTTAAAAAATTTTTTAGAAACATCTGTTAAATCGAAGGATTGCATAGGGACTTGTGAAAAACTAAAACTTTTAATATATTAACTCATTTATTTGTAGGTTAATGATTTTGGGCTTTCAACTAAAGATATAACCAAGGTGTTTGTTGGATTGGCCTAGGTCTTTGATGTGCTTCCAAATAATCCTACGCTCAAGCCTGCATGGTACCGTGCGTGTAAGTTTCTCCCATTCCCGTTTTAACTTTGGCAAATAAAAAAACAAAAAAAACTAAAGACGTTACAATAATATTAGTTTTGAGTCTAACATATATTATATGTAAACCAGCTCTCAAGCAATTGTCCACCACCACACCAACGGGCACACCAAGTTGTGCATTCAAATTTTTTACTTTATTTTAATATAACCGATATGGGGAAGGAAGAATTGAAACTAGGACCTTGGATGGAAGGGTAAAGACTCTTGAACTACAAGCTCCTTACTTCAAATGCACATATCACTCTGTAAGCACTCTATTTTGCTGAGTATTCTTCAAGGCTAACAAGTCCTGAGTGGGTGAGTCTTAGGAAGGGATGGAAGAGCTATTTGCGGTGTCAGAGAGTCTATAGGAAAAGGTGATTGTTGGTGATAAACTTAGATTGCTCTGTTAGCAATCCATTTTGTTGATTAACTCCATCTAGAGATCTGAGTAATCTCATCAATGAAGAGGTGGAAAATTGAAAGGATTGATACCAAACAACATGGATTGGTACTAGAAAAGTTGTTTTGCACAAAAGAATGAGTTGTATTGATCTAACCAAAAATCACAGTTAAAGATCAAATAAATTGGATTAATATGTCATACATTTTGTATGCATTTACACAGAAATAGGTGATAGAGAGAATTCGACCAATTTGGATTGATCCAGAACGAAGTCCAATGGTACAGCTTATTGATCTACCAACCAAGTCATAGGACTTAAAGCCGAGCCCAACTCAAGCCAGGCCCATCAAACATTCTTAGTCTCATCCTAACTTGTCAAATCTGGCACACCAAACGGGGCCTTAGTACTTACCCTTTTCTATATTTGTTGCAGGATTTGAAATTGAGGTTTATTATGAGATGTGCAAATAAGAGGAACTAATTGCAGATAGCATTGTACTGTTTTTAAGTAGAAGCTAGGATAAGAGAGTATTGTTCTTCCTTATAAAATTATGATGTAAATTACTTTGGTTTAAATAAAAAAATTTTGTTTAGTTTTCTTATTCATTTACCTTACACCCTAATAAGCAAATAAGATGATAAAACATAAAATTTGGGTGTGACGGGACTACTCTAGTTATATAATTTAATTTTTAAATTTCAATATATAGGCCTTCTAGTATTTAAATGTTTCATAAAAATCATGAAACTGTGCACTACATATATAGGCGAAAAAACGAACATATAATTCGTAAACAAAATCATTAATTAACCTGATGAAGCCATTAAGAAATCTGTCAGATAATAACGTGAACATCCACAACATGATAGGCAATGTCAAGTGACTAAGGAATTCCATTGGAGCCTATGGCCTTTAATCTTATTACCACAATTAATTGGGCAACTGGTAGTATCATATTTAGTTTCGATATCATAAATCTAAAAATTATTAATGATGAACTTAAATTGGTAACCAAAGTAATTATAAAAGGTAAACTATAAAGATGAAAACAATGTAGAAGTTATTTAAACAAATCTGACAGCAGAGTGAGTAATCTGTCAAGATTTAAAGCACGGAGAACGTACCTGAAAATCGAGTCATACACGGTATACACCCAAGAAAGAGTCTTCAAAAGTATTGCTAATGCTCAAAGGCTATTGAAAACCTGATCACTAGGCATCAAATATATATACTGAAGCAGTTTGGAAATCCAACCTCCAATTTGTGTCAAACAAGAAAAGACAAAATCAAAAGCAGTTCCATTCGTTGCTTAGATTATAATCCAACCATGCCTTTAGTATCCACAACAACAAAAATCACGCCTTTAGTCTTACTGACGGGGCATTTTTAAAGTAACTGCCCCAACATTTGAAACTTTATAGGATTCCTGCAATACAAAGTCCTCAATGATCGTACCTAAAGGCATCCTCATGTAACACAACACAAGAACAGACGTAGGGATTGCTCTAGACATAAAAGCAAAAGGGAAGAATGGACTCTTAAGTTTGAATCAGTTGAACATTGCTGGTGACTTACAGATCACGAGCTTCTAAATGTAGAAGTCCTGCATTATCCGCATTTCACTACGGTCCCATTTGAGATTGTTTTTTTATGGGTGAGTTATGTATGTATGCTATTATATTTATAAAACAATAATATAATAGATAATTAATTATGTATACTTGTTAAGTAAATTTTTTTAAAAATTATTAAATAAACATATTAGATATGTTAAATATGAATTTATTGCTAAATTTTTAAGAAGTTTCCAAATTAATTCATACATCCATGTGTACAATTAGTTACAATCCAATTAAAATTTGTTTCTATATTGGTAACTACATTAACATACACAATACAATAATGACTTAGTTGGGGGTATTTTAGGAATTGAAAAAGTACAATAAATTCGATTTTGCGCTTGATTAGGTAACTTACCATCTTAGTCATCTGGTATTATTTAGAAAAAATAGGATTTTATTCAAACAAAAATAAAAAGATGGGTTGTAGTTGAGGCCCCGCGCCGGAAAAAAAAAGTTGCTTCATTGTAAAGTTAAGTAGTTTAAGGTGTTTGGTAAAAATAAAATATCTTGATCATTTTAAAAGAAATGGTCTTTTCACATCCACTTTTAAAAGTATGTTGCTTTTGAAAGCTCATTTCACAAGAAGCGGAGAAGATCCCTTCATGAAATTTTCCAATTGCCATAAGACATCATTAATTTTAAAAAATGACATTGTCTACCACCACCACCTCCACCTCCATCACCAACCCAACACCATTGCCACCTCCATCACCAATCCAACCCATGAGCTTGCCTCAGCTTGATTTTGGGTGTCTAAGCTTGGAATAGCTAAGACTTATTTCTGGGTTGGAATGACTAGGGCTTGTTTGTGGGTGTTCGTAGAGGGTATGTTTGCCTTGGTGTTGCTTGTCTGAGCTTGGAATATCTAAGGCTTGTTTCCGGGTTTGGAATGGTTGTGGCTGGTGATTTCCAGTAGAGGGTGAGCTTGCCTCTGCCTTCCTAGGGGAAAATGAGAGTAATGAAAGGGTTAAGCTTGAGTTTGGTGTGTTTCCAACAATGAGAAAATGCTTGCTACTATTGCTGTGGTTCCCCCCCTCTAGTTCTGGATAATGCCTCCTTTTATAGGCCCTGGAGGAGCAACTGTTGGTCTAAGCTTTTAGTGGTGACGATTGAGACAGCGAAAGCTGGGTTTTAATACTGGCAGGTTAGGTGCTAGAGGAAGACATGTGGGTAGCTCTGGCTTTTGTGCTAGTAGAAGAGGCTGGTAGTTGGGTCTGTGATTTAATGCACGTTTTCTCTGCTTACCCATTCAACGGGCTCAACAAAATGGCTTGTGTTTTGGGGTTCCCAAGTAGCCCAAAACTTTCATTCTTTTGAACCTTTGATGGGCCTCACGGATCCTTGTACCCATCCACACCACAAACCACTCAGCAAGCCATAGGCATGTATAGTATTTGGGTCTACTTAAGCTTGTCAGATGGTTTAGCATAGGAAAATGTATTATTTGCTTGGCATGAAATGTACACTATTTCTATATTTATTTAATGAATTAATTCCCAAAATATTATTTTGATTAGCATGTGGCAAATATTGTATGTTATACTAGGCTTGAGGCCTTTGAGCTTCCCTTGACATTTTGGGCCTAAGCATTAGCTCCTTTGATTATTGGGGCCATGAAGTGGTAGAAAGATGGGCCAAATAATCAATTTTAGCCCAAAAATAATTGGAAGATGCTTTTTTATGGGTGAGTTGTGTATGTATGCTATTATATTTATAAAACAATAATATAATAGATAATTAATTACGTATAAGTAAATTTTTTTAAAAAAATTATTAAATAAACCAATTAGGTATGTTAAATATGAATTTAATGTTAAATTTTTAAGAAGTTTTCAAATTAATTCCTACATCTTTGTGTACAGTTAGTTACAATCCAATTAAAATTTGTTTCTATATTGGTAACTAAATTAATATACAAAATACAATAATGACTTAGTTGGGGGTATTTTAGGAATTGAAAACTACAATAAATTCGATTTTGGGCTTGATTAGGTAACTTGCAGAGTTGGATCTTAGTCATCGGGTTTTATTTATAAAAATCTTGATTTTATTCAAACAAAAATAGAAAGATGGTTTGTAGTTGAGGAAAAATGACTTTGAAGGGGGG